TAGTAGTAGTAGAATGATAAGAGCTGTCTGCTATTCTTCAAAATTAATTTGCTTTCCCTGAGTTTCTCTAAGAACAGCATGTAGTGTGTGGTATCCTTCATCTATAGACACCATGCTATTTTCCTCTAAGGCTTATACACTATTTAAAAAAATACATTTAATTTCGGATGAATTTGTGAATATTACTCTGCTTTGGTACTCTCAAGTGTTCAAAGATCCTGTTTTGTTTTTCCAGTTAGAGATTGTAGAATTTCCTTTAATTGCAGTGGAGAGTAATACTTATGATGTCATTCTCATAACAGGTTTTCTGGTCACGATTAGTCTTTAAAGCATCCAGAGTGTTTCAGAGGGCCATAAAAAGGCTCGATTTCCTTGTACTTTTCTCAGAAATTAGTTTTTTTTTAAAAGATACAGTAATGATTTTGTCCAAAATGCTATTAAATTAGCAGTTTAGTCTTCAGCTTCTGGAAAGAGGATGAGACCCCCCAAATATATCTAATTTCCTTTAATAACTCTTTCTGGTATAATTCCTCTAATGGGTTGACCTTCTAAGGCCCATAGGCCAAATCCAGGCTCCCTTATCCTCTTGTAAATAATGGTTTACTAGAATTAGCCCCACTGATTTGTTTTCCGGATAGCCCGTGGCTACTTAGGCATATGGCCCAACAAACCTAAAATATTTAACATCTCTTAATTATTTTTTTCAAAATGTTTATTGATCTGTTTAAAATCTTTCATGAAACTTTTTATATTTCCATCAAGCCACAGGATAATCAATCCCACTTAGAGGTTCCCCATGGTTATCCTAGAACTCTTGCCTTACCAAGGTACCCAGGTCCCACTACACTGGATGTTGTACCTCGAAGGCTCACATTTCTACCTCCTATGGTACTGCGGTTCTCTCTTTCTATTTCAGCCTCCTGGTCTGGAAGCATGGGAACAACCTCTTACTCTCGAAACTAGCATAGTGTCTAAACTTAACTGGTGCAAAAAGTTCATTGTTTGAACAATGAATGGCGTTCCTGGTCACAATATAAAGCATCATTTTTGTAGATAGTGTTTATTTAAGACTGAATAATCAAAGACTGAATAATCTTTCTAGTTATAAAAAGATTTCTAAAAAAAGTTTTACCTTCATTGTTTTATTTCTTTTGAGTACAGATGGAACTTAATTTATATTAATATTAACATCACCTGTGTTGACCTCACATCCAACATTCTTCCTAAATATGCTAGATATTAATAATAAATCTCTTTGATTTGAAAAAAAAATTCAGGCTGTCCCAATCTTACAAATCTTATAAAGTAAATGAATGGTGCCTCCATTTTGTCAGTTTCTTATAATATTTACTGTGTCTCTGGGGTTTTAGGCAGTGGTGAAATGCAGTAAATAAAACAGTCTTTGCTTTTGTGGGTCTTACATGCTTATTCAGGTAGGTAGCAGCCAACCAAGAAAATTGCCAGCTGATACCAAGTCCAATGAAATGAATGAAAATAGAGTAAAGAAATCGTGGATAACCAGGTAGCATTTTAAAGTGTGTGGTTATGGAATGCTGTTTTGAGAAAGCGACATAAGAGTTGGAGTCTGAATAATAGGAATAAATATGATAGCCACATGTTGATTATGAGAATTGAATTCTGGGCAGAACACATAGCTGTAAAAAAGGCTTCAAATCTGGGAAGGAGCGTAGTGTGTTGGAGGTAAAGAAGAAAAGTGTGGTAGGTGCATGGTATACAAGGGAGTGGTGAGGGAAATGGATGTTCTGGGTGCCAGGAGGCAGTCGTAGAGATGCAGTCCTGTTTAAAGAAAACTGAAGGAAGATGGTCGATTCTGACTCCTGACAGACTATTAGTGCATAACATTGACAAAGATAAGTGAAATATATTGTCCAGGTCGACCTAACACCCTGTGTAACTCCACACCCACTAACCTACTACTAATCCAATGTAGTCCTATAAAGACTATCTGTGAGGTGACTTCTAGATTTAAATATGAGTTTGGCCATCCTTGGTTCCCAACAGAACAGAAAATGACTGCCCATAAGAAAACTGTCCTAGGAGTGTCTTAAAAGTTATCTCTATTTTGTCAGATAAAACCAAAACAATGGAAACTGACTGTAAATTGAGGCTACTGTGCGAAATCTGACTGTGGAATTGAGGCTACATGAGGGGAACAGTTTGAAAACAAAGGTGGGGGTGTTGCTATGGGCTGTAGTGGAGGACTGTGGATGCTGTGGTGGTAAGTGTGGTGTGGTTACATGCACCTGAGGAGGGGGGAATCCTCTGAAACATATGCAGAGTGTGTAAATCATATATAGGGTTACATCAATTAAAAAAATTTTTTAAGTTATCTATTTCATCTTATTTGCAAAGAAGCACATGTGTGTCTATATATGGGTCCACAGATATATAGATATAGATAAACATAGATATTTATATATATACACACACACATATACATACATATATATGTTGTTGTTGTTTTTCTAAAGGATTGGATTCCTGGGGATATGTGTTGGCACATTGTTGCCTAATGGAACTGATGAAAAATATTCACCTAAGTGAGAATGTGTTTAACCTATTTAACTATATATTTTTAAGATTTATTTATTTATGCTTACAGAACTGGGGTACAGGGCAAAGGTGTGGTGGGTGAAAGGGTTCACCAGAGACAGAGTGGGAAGCAGAATAGGCAGATGTACTGAAATACACTGTTGAGGGAGCAGTGGGCAGGTCAGGCGAGGTCAGCCATGCCCTGTGGGTCAGCCCTCTGGCTGAGGGTTGAACTCATGCTGCAGTGGCTTTGGAGAGCTTCATAACGCAGTGCTTTTACCCATTGTGCCATCAGAGAGAGCCCTATTTAACTATTTTATAGTTAAGTCTTATGTGACTATTGGAAATGTCCAGTTATTATAATAAATGTATGTGATATTTGATCCTGCCGCTGTATATACACAAAATAAAATATTTGACAGATTCAACCAGTTTGAGTTAACTCCATGAAGATTTTGATTCATTAAACATTGATTCAAGTCAATCCTTAGCATCAGACAAGCAAAGTGGTTAGATAATAACATTCATTATGGAACTGAAAAACCTTTCAAAAGTCGCTGATATTACCAAAGTTCTATTAAGATACAAAGTTTTTTGGATTCTTCCTGTTTTCACAGTCATCATTTAACTAAAATGATGCTTCTTCCTCACCTAGTCTCCGTCTGCAGACATAACCTATGATAGCAATTATATATATTATGGAAGGTTGCAAAATTGTCATCTACTGGTAGTTTGGAAGTCAGGGCCTACAGGAGGGTGTAAATTAAAACAGGGAGGGGGATGATGGGGAAAGGTCTCTTTTAACAAAGAAAAGCAACTCAGTGGGAGTGGAGGCTGGCAATCTGCTAACGGAAATGAAAGGAAATTCTTCATTTCTAAAAGGTTCATTGACCCATGATAATAAAGCAGCCCTGCCAAAGAAGGATAATTATCTTTTTAAGTATCAGATACCCGGTGGGTGAAGGCCTCCCTTCTCTCTTGAAAAATGAACTCAAATTAAACAAATGCTCCTTTTCCTAGTTCACCAGAGATATGAATTTCCTGATTATGAGCAAAATTAATCAAATTTTCCCTCTTCCTTTTTTCCACTCTCTCATGGAAATCAGACCCGCCCAGCTGAGCTCAGCACATTTCCCCTGGGCTCTGAGTTCTCCCCATAGTGTGATGGGTGAAAATGCTTGATTTTCTGGTGAGACTAGCAATTGCAGAATTGTGGTTTTATTTTGGCCTTTAGCTGCTTAGCTTCAGGCAGAAGTATGTTCTCAAACTAGAAAAAAGGAAAGAAGAAAGAAACAGAAAAGAACATGAGAGCTCTCTTTTCTCCTGCTGGTACCTGAAAACTAAACAAAAATTAATATATGCTGTATGTGTGTGTAATACACATACACATAGATGATGAATACAAAGGAAAAAAGCAACTGAAAAATGTTATTGATGATGTAGCAGTGAATATTAATTTGCTACTAACAAAAGATCAAACTTAAATCCTTTTCCTTTAGAACTTGTTTGATCACACCACTAATGTAAATGTAAATGTTGACTTTTCTGGGGCTCTCCCTGGTGGCAAAATGGGTAAAGATGCAGCACTACAAGCTTTCCGCTTCCACTTCAGTGCAAGTTTGATCCCTGCCCCTGGAGGTGACCCACCTGGCACAGCAGACCTCTCCTGACTCACCTGCTGCTCCGCTCAGCAGTGTGGTTCGTTGATCTACCTATTCTGCTCCCCACTCTGTCTCTGGTGAATCATCTCACTGCCCCTACACCTTTGGCTTGTACCCCAGTTCTGTATGCATAAATAAATAAATCTTTTTTTAAATGTTGGTTTTTCAAACTTGTAGAATGCATTAAGATGATTTCATTTACACAAACAGACAGTCCCTTTCTTAAATTAACGATCTACCTTCACCTGTCTTAACAATCATTCTGAGGAACCTTTGTCATAAATTGCTTAACTAAATGACAGACCTCTTGGTTATAAATGGAATTTACTGTACATTTCAGAATGCTTCCATTCCTTTTAAAAACAAGATAAAGCAACTACTGTCATATTTTCATTGCATATTTTTCTAAAGTTATGCTGAAATTAAAATTTTAATCACAGTGTTCTACATAACATCCCCAGTGCATTCTGCTGATGGAGAACACAGAACATTAGAACAGGGATCAGGAGATAGCAGTCAAAAATAGCTCATGCATATTTTAGTAAGAACTGAAGTCTCCCTGAACAGGAGTCCTTTTCTCTTAGACTATCTTCAGCACACCACATCTTCTTCAAAGTATGATTGAACTTGTTCATAAGTTCTTTAAATTCCTTGGATTTTTGGTAGTTGACAAATATTTGTTCATTAGTCTTATGGAAGGGCCAAAGGGATTCAATTCTGGAGGTATATGCATGATAAAATATTACCCAGAGCAAAAAGAATGTACCTTAACAGATGTCACTGCAGATGTCCTGGTGTGTCCCCTTCGGCCAGTGGAGCGCTTCAGGGACTTACATCCCGATGAAGTGGCTGATCTGTTTCAGGTAACCCAGAGAGTTGGAACTGTGGTGGAGAAGCATTTCCAGGGGACATCTCTTACCTTTTCCATGCAGGTGAGTGTACATATTCATAAATATATTCTTCATTTTTATATCTTAACATTGGGCTTTCCCTTGTATCTCAATGGGAAGGCAGCTATAGATGTCTGTGTCATATAACATTACTAATGGATCACAGCCTTCCTGTGCCCTAGCCCCAAGGTGACAATGCTTTAACAGGCATTAAAACATTCTAATTCATTGGCTAGACTTGGGCCTGGGCACGTCATTTTCATTCCATGTTAGGTATGTTTTGAGCATGAGCTTAAATTCACTTTGTTTTCAGAGGGCTTACCTTTTCTCTATCTTTAATTTAAGCTCAGCGATTGATTATAGATTGGTCAGGTACTGAACTAAGTATTCATTGTAAAAATATAATTGATTAAATTCTGTTTTCCAGTTACCAAATTATATCTCAAGTCACAGAAGATCTTTAGGCAGAGACTGAGTGCTCACTTATCAATGTAATAAGAAGAGGCCCATGGTGGATTATCTGCTGTGGAAATTGAGTATCTCAAGAGTAAAGTTATCATAAGCCCCTTCGAGCTCCATGGAAAGAACTGGCATTGTCAGTCTTAACTGAAATCCTGACCTGAAATTTGATGACTCTGCAATTACTCTTTGGAAAGAAATGAATTGTTCCATTGTATAAGACCTTGTGTTATACTTAGTGTTTTAATTTAAATGAATATTTACTATTCCTCCTCTGCACTCCTCAGTTCTCTACCACAGACTTTCAAAGAGGGAAGGTAAAGAAAGTCACTTTTTGAGAGTATCAAAGCATTTGACTCAAAATACTCAGCGTTTCTCAAAAACAAATTTTTACCACCATCTCTGTTGAATGCATTTGAATTTCATAAAATACTGTGTGTGTGTGTGCACGCTATGTGTGCATGTTTTGTGACCCAATTGGAGTCACCTTTAAGCAAGTGGTTAAACTTGGAGGTTAAACACAAAATCAACTGTTTGCTGTAAATCATGTTTCCAGAGAAAACAAAAAAGATAAGTAGATGAAAGCATCTGTCAGTGTTCAGTGAAATACTAGAAGATTCATGTTCGTAGAAAATGACAGTGCTGATCATATAAAATCTCTAGAAAGTTAGTTTCCTAAGTATAGATCTGACTTGGACATAGCACTTCAGAATACTTTCATACATGCAGTTTTCAAACTTTTATTAAAAAATTTAACCCGTAGAAAATATTTTTTATTTAACAACATGTATACCTCCCCTGTCTCTTATGCACATGCACATATATAAGTAAAGAAACCAAAGTTTTACAAAGCAGTACTTTCCTATTCTATGCACCGATAGCTTCAGGGCCAAATAATTATACAGTGCATATTCCAGGCCACAGAAGGGCAGGAATTCATACTTCCCTCCATTAGTTTGGATCATAGAAGTAGAAAAACTTTCTTAAATTTGCAATTCTATTAATAATTCAGATTTGGAATTTCTGATTGTAGCAACATACTGATTCTGGTATTCCCAAACCACTAAGCCCTTGTTTTTTCTTTGTGTTTTGGCTCGTGACCAGACAAGTTTGCTCATTTTCAACTAAGCAAATAGTTTTGTTGGACTTCAAAAAACATGGAAAAAGAGCCAGGAATGGGAAGGGCCCCACAATAAGGAACACTCCATCATTCTTCTCTGAGAGAAGAACAGCCAAGTGGACTATTGTCAGATGCTGTTTCCATGTGGGATAGCCCATATTCTTATTAGATTATGTTGTCAGAAGACTTCCTGAGACTTCAAGTAATTATACATTAATTAAACTACATCAGATTTAAAGATAACCAAAAGGTGTGATACTTCACCTCCCCAAAGGTTTTCAGCCTTTCTTTAATACAATTAAAATCATAGCCAAGAGCAAAGAGCATAAAAAGTAACAAGGGGTGTTGGCTTGCTGGATTATTTATATCATTTTTATACATCACTTCTCACTCTCTGGTGGAAATGGAGAACTGCCTGGTCCCATACATTTGAAGTAAGTGGTCCCCATGAGAATACTATAAATTAACATACAATGAAATTGGATCTAAATTATTGACAGTGATATTTCTGAATAAGCAGGAGATAACATCTCTCTGTTCTCACCACTGTTTCTCCCCCCCCCCCTTTTAGGATGGCCCAGAAGCGGGACAGACTGTGAAGGTGAGTGCTTATTATGTGCACACGAATTAATAAAGGGCAATTATGGGAAGTAATAAAAAGATCACACCTAGTCATTTATAGCACATTGCTGTTTCATTGTGTTATCTTCGAGGTCAGAGAGACCCTCAGTGTTAGGAGTTATAAATCCTAACATTATAACTATGTCAAGCAATATGTTTCCCATTAGTTTACAAGACATTTACCTTTTGTGGTAAATTGTTACTGTGTAAATGCTAAACCAGAGAGTCCTAAAACAAAACTGGAGCCAAAGTCCTTAGATTTGAGGAAGGGCCTAGGACATAGCACATGTGCCCTGTGGAGATTTTGGTTTCCATTTTCAGTCTGGACAGCTTGGATTTGCCATTTGGCTCTTCACATGGTTGTTTTTTTCCCTGATCCTTCATGAGTGGAGGCTTAACGGATGTGGTAGCCCCATCTTCTCCCTTCATCCCTGGCCCTCTGCTTTTCCCTGTTCACCCCCTCCACCCACAAACCACCTTTTTTCTTCCCTTTGTATTTAATAGCAAAGTTTGAAACTAATGGAGTCAGTGGAGCACAAAAATGGGCATTTAAGTTTGCTAAAAAGGAAAGGAGAATTTATTAGGTTAGTCTCTGCTTCTCTAGTAAAGTGAAATAGAAAAATAAGATCCTGCGTGAGTCTTAGGTTGGGTTTCAGCAGATTTCTCTGAAATCTGCATATGCAGATTTCTCTGCAGCTAGGTCCTATGCCTAAATCATAGAAAAGACTATTATTTCTAGTGCTAGAAATCAGGAGCCAATCAAACTGGGTGCTAATGTTATCCTTGGCGAAATAAGGTTTTATGACTCTGAGACTGGCTGTGAATGGAGAAGGTAATGGTTGGCACCAAGCAATGCCACATAAACAGTTCTCTTTTGATTTTAGTTTGCATATGGCTTTAATGTTTAACACAGCTACTGTGGAACTTTTTAGTAGAATCTCTGGGAAGTACTTTAGAGAAATGAATGTCCTATAGGGACTGCTACCAAATTCCTATGATAAAAGCTAGCTTCTGATTGCTCCCACACATGATGTGATACTGACAACTTTCCTCTACCCCACTGTTCACCCCCATTGTCAAGATTCTAAATATGTAGATACTAACAAAGAACATATTATAAGTGGTTTGTTTTTGAAATAATTTCTTTAAATACAAAGCACACATCTTTGAACCTGATTCTTCTTTTTTTTAAAACTCAATATTCAAATGTAAGTTGGGAAAACAACGCGGTAAGTTAGATGCATTACGATGTATCTCTTTGAAGGATTTCTTTCAGTCATTGAAAGCAATGCTGTAGCTGCAAGTAACACAGAAGAATGTAAAAATCATATTATTTGGAAAGCACATATTCATAAATGTACATATTAAACATATCTAAGATTTATAGGACTTTATAGGTTATGTGATCTCAAAATGTTGTGGCAGAGTTCAGAATGAAGTATTAAAAATATTTCCTATTCAATCAGACATGGAAAAGTGACAGAAAATAGATTAGTAATCTCCAGGGTCTAGAAGAGGGAAGTGGGGAGCAGTGATAACTTGGACCATCTTTTTGGAGTGATGAAATGTTGTGGAATTAGGCAGTGATCATGATTGTGCAACATGATGAATATTCTAAAAAGCACTGAAGCATACACTTTAAAGTAGTGAATTTATGCAATTGTAATATCTCAGTTAAAATAATGAAGTAATTTTTTAAAAATCTCAGTAATCACCAAGTGTAGCAGGACTGAGCAACCCACTTGTAGATTCTCTGACTCCAATAATGATTAGTTTTTGATGTCCCAGTTATCTGGCTAAAAGTTTTAATGGCTTTGTTACCTTTGATGGGGACAATGATGAAGGAATTCTTGGCTTCTGGTGGTCCTACATGAACTGCTTAATGAAGTTATTATCTCCACAGATGTAATTTTGTGGTTTAACTTGCGTTCCTGTTTTTTAAATAATTCAAGTGCTTTTTTTGTCGGTGCTTTTTTTTTTTTTAATTGTTTTTAGATATCTTTCAATTGTTTCCAACCTGGTAACAGCATTTCTCCAGGATGAATTAGTGGGCCATTTCAAATCCTTTGAGGAATGTAAAATGACTAAAAGAAAACAACCATATACACACCTAAAGTTTGGAAAACTGGCATTTTAGATCAAGATTGCATTTCTGAATTGTCTAATCTGTTTTTTCAAGTGTGATTCTGATACAAATTATCTGAAAATTAATTTTGGTATTAAAAATAAGTTGATTCTCAAATTTTATTCTGTACCTATTGATATATATAATTTTTGTGGGTGGGTCTTGGAAATCTTCATTGTCAGCAGGCATACCCCAAGATTCTATTTAGAATGTGGATATCAGCCTTGTTACTTTATAGTGGAAAAAATAGTAGGTGGTGATGGGCACATAGCATTGATCCATGGTGGACGCTGAACTCATAGAAGCAGCCCCTTAAGAGCTCAGGAGGTAAAGCAGCAACTTCAATATTTAGCTGACAAGTTTACACATTTCCAAGCCATAGTTGACATACTTAGTGAGGGTAGTAGTGATGGTTCTTTTTATCTTCTTCATCCTGCACTGACTTGGTATTCTGCCCGCTGCCTAGGTTCTAAATTGTCTTTTATTTCCTACTGGATGGTAATAGCAATAAACACAGAAGTGATCTCTTGCCCAGAAGCAAATGTTGCCATTGTTAATGACTGTGCACCGAGTTAGCACTTGACCATGATGTTCTTAAGGGTTTTTTGTTTCAATGAATTTTAAATCTCCTTTACAAAGAATGAGGTTAGCCTTGATTACTAGGCAAGGCATTTGTAGCAGGAGAGGGAAATATCAAAGTAAAAAAGTGACTGTTTATTTCAGAATTGCTTGTTAACTCTTCTTCAAAGTAGCAGAGGTATCCACCGGATGATTATGACAGCAATTTGGACATCCTGCAGCCTTGAAAAACAATCTCTCATAGGCGTATACCACCATATGCAATGCATCTACATTTCACCATTTGCACATATAACCATAGGTCACTATACTCCAGTCTACTCTAACCCTCCTGCCCCCATTTGAAGTGACTCTTCTAAACCCCTTACTCAATGGCCAATTGTCTTGTTAGAGGTTCTTCAAGGTATTCTCCATTGTCTTTTATTTGTCTGTGTATTTGGTTTTGTTCCTATTCCTATGTTGTTCATAAGACTTATATTTCACCATTGTTTACTATGGCTCTTGGTTTGTATATGGAGGAAAACAGAGATGATCATGATTATATGGCAGAACAAAATTCACTTAGTTAACATGAAGTAGCACCATGATAATAGGCACTTGTATTCCAATATGCAGTCAGAGATCTGAGTTTCCTGGAATCTCTGTTAAAAATATTTCCAATTTCAGATGTCACTGACAAAAGTCAGAACTCCTCTGAGTCAAGTTCACAAACTGAATTACCAAGCATAATTCCACCTAGCCAAATCATTAAAGCATTGTCATTCCTTAAGAGGTAGCAAGTGAGTTATCTTTTGGAGCAATTACTATCACCTTTGAGTAGAAGGGTCTTTTAGGTCTGTTAAAGAGGTTTATGTCAAGTAGGTAATCTAGAATCTCACAAGAACTAGTTATAGAAGAGGCTGACTTATACCTTTCTATATTATACAGTGCTTGGATCCTCCCTAAGATATTTAATTTTATAATTGTAATGAGAAGTGTCTCTTAATAACTATTGAGATATTAGTAATTATTTTTCAGAATATTGTGAATAAAGCAAAGAGTTATTTAAAGAAGTTTGATTTGAATGTAACAAAAGAGATATTCTACTATTCATGAGGACTTTCTATAGTCTAAGACGAGATTTTTCCATGTAGATTTAGTAATCTTTCAGATTCATAAATAGCAAATTTTGGGTCTTACTCAATGACTAATATGGTGAGTAATATGGTTCGTATTCAATCAGGATACTTGCTATACTAACTTAACTACTTTGTGACTTTGGGCCAACCCTTACCCTCTCTGTCCATTCATTTCCTCATTTTTTCAAATGAGAGAACCCATATTTGTAGTATTGAGTGAGGCTAATGATGAGGAGAAACCACGGTGAATAGAAAGTCCAGTCCACCACTCACTATCCCTGGGACCTTGTGGATGTGTCTTCATTTTAATCTGAACCTTAGTTTTCTCATTTATAAAACATGCTATGGTTAGGCTTCAGAAGAGTGTAGCTGGCACTGGGATTATTTTACAGCCCTGCTGAGTTTACTTAAGGATTGTGCACTGAATTCTCTCACTTTTCATTTCCTGTCCTTTAAGCTTAAATTCTTGAGACAATGCCCTCTTTTCATATGATATGTGCTACTTAAATACCTAGCATGATTAAAAATATAGTTGCAACTTACAAACAACTTGTGGTTCTGAGCCTATAGTAACTTCACATTACTTGAAGCACAGAACAGAAACCTGACTATCCTCTATGCTGATTCAGCCATTCTGCTTTTTAAGAGTCACCATAAGTGAGTCTCATATTTATTGTATTCAGTACATAGCAAACAAGAAGATGTTTATGGATCTCCACATATTGCTAGTTTTCAACTCAAACAAATTCTTATTATATATTTTGCATAGAAAGGGGAAACTCTTGTCTTGTAGATTAAATTTATTTTACTTGACTGTTATTTATTATTTTTATCTGAGAAGAAATTTCAAGAGCACTATAATTTGCCAAAGAACTTTTATCCTTTGATTAAAGTCATGACAAAGAGTACCTTGCCTATGTTTATACCTAATGCATATATTTAAAGTTGGAAGAATTAGTATCTTCAGGATTCAGTAGCTTTTATCTTGTGGAATTGCCTACAATTTGTATCTCTGTTCTCAGAAGGAATCCAATTTGCCTGAGTTCAATAAACCAAAAGCAATTTTAGGTTGGGTGTACAAGTGGGAGTGGATACATTCAAGTCCATCTTTCCCCTCTGATAGGCACACGTCTCTGCCTCTCCTTTCCCCTAATGGTT